GGAAAGTCTACACCCGAATAGTTTGAATCATGGGAGAAGGAAATTGAGTTAGTGTTTGCATGTCATAACTGTGATGATGGCAAGAAGGTAATTCTCGCAATCACCCATTTTAAGGATTATGCACTAACTTGGTGGGATAAAGTAATGTCTCATATAAGGAGGAATGACGAAGGACCCGTAGATTCTTGGATCGAATTCAAGGAACTCATCAAGAGAAGATTCGTGCCAACACACTATCATAGAGCAAATTCAAGGAAACTTAATAAAATCTAGCAAGGCACCAAAGGAGTTGAAGACTACTACAAAGAGATAGACATGTTGATCAGCCGTTTGCAACTAGAGGAAGATGTGGAGACCACCATGGCCCGATTCTTAGATGGTCTTAACCCGGACATAGCTAACAAAATTGATTTACAACATTATGAAGACATGAACTTTTACACCTCGCCATCAAAATAGAGGAACAAAACCAACGAATGACTAAACGGTATGTCAAATCTACCCCTAAGGCCACTAGTATCAAAGTGGAGAGCAAATCCCTATAGTCAAAACCGAAAGCTAATTATGAGAAGGGAGAGTCATCCAAGTCCAAAACCCAACCTTAAATTTCCAAGACTAGAACTAGTGAAATTAAATGTTTTAAATGTCGTGGAGTAGGCCACATAAGCCAAAATTGTCCTAACCAAAGAGCCATGATACTTAAAGAAGGAGAGCTAGTTAGAGATGATTAGGAGGAGATATTAGAGGTTGAGGAGAGAAAATAAGAAAGTAGTCAAGAACAGGAAGTAGAAGAGGATTCCAATGATATAGCCTTAGTGGCTAGGAGGAACCTCAATGTGCAATTTAGGGAAAAGCCCTTAGAGACACAAAGAGAGAACATATTTTATACTAGGTGCATAGTAAACTCCACCAAATGTAGTGTTATCATTGATAGTGGGAGTTGTACTAATGTTGCTAGTAAGGACATAGTGGAGAGGTTGAAATTAGCCACCACACCCCACCCACGGCCTTATAGCCTACAATGGTTGAATAATAGTGGGGATGTGAAGGTCCAAAAGCAAGTTCAAGTTCCATTCAACATAAGTAGGTACAAGGACGAGGTCATTTTTGATGTTGTACCTATGCATGCTAGTGATTGCTTACTAGGGAGACCGTGGCAATTTGACAAAAATGTGAGTTTTGATGGTATTCTTAATAAATATTCCTTTGAGCATCAAGGTAAGAAAATCTCAGTTGTACCTCTTTCTCCAAGAGAAGTACGTATTGATGAACTAAAATGGGAAGAAAGAAGGTTGGAGGCCAAGAAGAAAAGGAAGTTGTTGACCTTCAAATTAAAAAGAAAGGAAAAGCCTCTAAAAACAATGAGAAAGTCATGACCCTCATGGCTAGAAGAGACTAGATAAAGCGAGTTCTATGTGCTACACAATTGCTTCTTCTATACCTACATGAAGGTAATGATCTCCTAACTCAATAAAGAAGAAATACTTTGCCTAGTGCTTGTGTTGAGTTTTTACAGGATATTGAGGAGACGATACCCGAGGTCATGCCATACTTGGAGAGGAGAATTGAAGAAGAAGAAGGAGAGCAGCAAGGAAGTTCTTTTGAGCTGCCCACTTAAGGATCTCAAACACATCAAGAGGCCGAGCCATATGAGGAGAACCAACATGACAATCAAGTGGAGATCTTTGAGAAGAAAAAGGAGAATGAAGTTTTTCAACTTCATCAAGGTAATAGTCCTACTATAGATGCTTATCATTGGATTAACTTACTTCGTTTGGATGTAGGTAAACAACTTGATTCGAGGACGAATCCAATTCCAGAAGGAAGAGATGATACGATCATATTTGACCCATCAACAAATTTTTATTATTTTGAAGGTCAATGAAGGACGTACTAGGGTCAAGAGGAAGCATGGAAGGGAAGAGAAACCAAGCGAGCGGCCCCACTTAAAGGATAAACCCATCGAGAGGCCACCCGCACGCACGCACAGTCAGGCGCACGCCACTGTGCGCGCTACCATGCCACAAGAACCTCACAATGTGCCCCCTGCCGCACTCGTCTTAGCCCCGCTAACCTCACAAGGAACGACCCCTGTGCGCTCCTATCTGCCACACATGCCCGCGCGCCTACGTCTGTCCCCAGCGCTCGCACACCACTGTCTGCTGCAGACGCCTTACGCCCACGCCTACCCCAACACCCGCGCGCCCATTGTCTGCCCAGCGCCTATGTGCACTACCCCTACTTGTCCGCGAGCCTCATTTCCCCAAGCAACCGCGCGCCACTGCAGGCCATCAGCACCCAACCCAGCGTCTGCACGTCCCTGCACACCCATCAGCGCCCAATGCCTTGCACCGCTGCCCATGCGCTCACCTACCAGCGCCAACCCTACTCCCGCACGCGCCAACGCTCTCCCCTAGCCTTGCCTTGCCGTCCACTCAATCCCACTTAAGGAAAATATTTCCTTCTTATTTTCCTAGTTTATTTTGTGGGATTTGTTTTTGATTTATCAATTTTTAAATTCATCTTAGGCAA